TGCTGGCAGGATTTGCACTGTGAGTTTGCGGTCATCACCGATCTTTCGTTTTCAACGAGCAAGCGGGGCATGCAGTCGCTCCTTGGAGTGGCTAATTATTACATCCGCTTTATCCAAGACTTTGCTGTCTACCGTGCGGCGCTGTCCAGCTGAAGGATGAAGACTTTGTCGCTGAAGGTGGCCTTTCTGTGGCACGTCGTTCCGTCGAGAAATTGAAGGCGAGTGTTTCACATGCACCCATCCTCAGGCACTTCGATCGGTCGAAAGAAGTTCATGTCGCGCTCTATGCGAATGAATGGGCGTTGAGCACGACGCTTATACAAGATACCAAGATCGTCCAAAGCCAGCCATATGCTGATGGCATTGCTTTTCTATAGGTGACTTATAGTTTTTATATTTAACTCAAGCTTAGCCTACCTATAAATATACTCAGTTTACAGCCTACCTTAAATTGTTTTTTTGGTCACCTCGCTCCCTTTAAGTAAAAAGGGACCTGTGAGCTGCCGTTCACTGAGAGTTTGTAAACTCTCAAAAGCCAACTTCCTCTAGTGCAAGGTGCTGTGTGACCCCGTTACCTTTGATAGCACTCGCAATCAATCCACGCCAAAGCTGGTAGACTACCTGAACCTCTCTAAGATTTGTTGCCTTGGATATGAACAACATTATCAATCCGAACGGCTCACAGTTCGAGTTGGTTCAGAAGATGGCAGGTATCTTCGAGATGGAGGCCCTGCAGAGCCTGGTGGTGTCAACACCGGCCGCGCAGCTCGAGCGCGTCAATGCGTTTGACGCTTACGAGCAGGGGCTCATCGCGCATGTGCGGGAGAACCTGCAGGCTCCGGCGGTGGAAGCGAATCCACCTCACCCGAAGCCAATACGGCTGAAGTTTAAGCCGTATGAAGGGAAGGAAGGTGAGAGCCTTCACTTCTGGGTCCGAGAAGTAGAGCTCGCGATGGACGCGGCTCTGATCTCGACCGAGCAACTTCGTGTTGCTTTTGCACTCCCCAACCTTAGCGGCTGTGCTAAGTGTTGGGTGTACACACGAGAGGCAACATCTACTGGATGTTTCACATCCTGGGCTCAGCTGTGTGAGCAGCTCCGAGCCGCGTTCCTCCCGGCAGACTACGAGTACCGCCAACGCTCGCGCTTCCTCTCGTGCAAGCAAGGGGGGCATGAGCTGCACGAGTACGTGCAAGAGATACGGGCGTCCCTAGTGGTAAACCCACTCAACAAACGCATCAAGATGACTGTGTTCATGGACGGCCTTTGAGTGGGACCCGCACGCACTCAGCTGCTCCGGGTGCAGTCAAACACCCTTGAAGAGGCGATTCAAGTGGCTCTTCAGGAAGCGTACAGCCATCGCCAGGTGCGTACGCCGGCCTCGGCGTGGCCTGGGAGTTCCTTGTTGACTCCCGATCGAACGAGCCCCAACAGACCAGTTCCCATTGGAACTCGGGTCCGCCGAACAGCGTGACATCCGCTGCTTCGGCTGCGGGAAGATGGACCACTTCAAGTGCGACTGTCCCGCGGAAAGACTCCGCAGACGGTCTTTCGCCAAGCCCGTCCTAAAGAGTCGCTGGTAGAAGCCAGGATCTCGGGGACAGGGGAGCGCCGGAAACCAGTAGTGGCGGGGCGCCCTACTGGGGAAGAGCTAAGTCTTCTTGATGGGTGCGCGGGTGGCGCGTACCACGGGTACTTAGCCCCTGAGAGTATTCGCACCCTCGAATCGGTGAAGAGCAGCGGCGGGTTGCTCGTAATACACGGATGTGTACGGGGATACGATCATCCCTTTAGAATCTTGATCGATTCTGGGGCATCGAAGAATTTCGCACGCCGCCAGACAGTTGCTCGTAATAGCAACAAGTTGTCCGATGTTTTGAGAGAAAGCAAGGGCAACGGGACAGTATCAGAGTGACTGGCTGACGAGAAGGTCGTCACTGTCCCCAACGTCCAAAGTGGATCTGGCCGTCAAGCTTGAAGACTTTGACAGCCTCGAAGAGCTCACTGTTCTCGACATAAATCCATATGATATGATCCTGGGCATGCTCTGGCTGAGAAGCACGAGCCCTGGATCGGCTGGCGAGGCAAGGCAATCGGTGCCAGTCGCCCTGCGCAGCCCGACAGAGCATTGGTGAGGCATGTTCCCACCTCTGTCAGGACCCGGGGCGCCCGCAAGGGTTACCCGGGGACCAAAGCGTCCGGCAGACGCTTGGGAGTCGTCGACGTATATGACGACTCCAAGGATGTTTTGATGGTGGCAGCGCCCAGAGGAGGCGCTGGCCAAGTGAGTAACTTAGGTCCACAAGCGGGTAACTTAATTCCGCAGACAGCTGCAGCTGTCACGAGCTTTGACGATAGCGTGTTCCGGGTGGGTAACAGAGTTCCACACACGGTCGCCCGGACCTTAGCTGAAGAGGAAGACGTCGAATAGGCTTCCTGTGTGGGTAACATAGTGTCACATGCGGTCGCCCAGACCTTAACTGAAGAGAAAGGTGTTGAGCACGCTTCCTGTGTGGGTACCACAGTATCAGACGAGGCCACGAGTGCCTCGGATCGAGACAATCGTCTCCGGGAGACTGTGATAGCAAACACGCCATCGACGAACAACCTTGCGGTTTGTTTGCGCGTAACAGTGACAGGAACCGGAGCAAGATGTACCATCTTGCTCAGCCGACACACGAACACCAAAATTATGGTGTTGCCGTGTCCGTCGGCGGGAAGCCCAAAGATGAAGTCAAGACTCATCAACTTCCAACAGTCAGCCGGTACGGGCCGGCTTTGTAGTGGAGCCGAAGAGGGCCCTGCGGGTTTGACCCGCTGACATGCTTCAAATGTCTTCACGTATCGTGCCACCCACTTATACATGTGGGCCCACCTGTAGGCCTGAGAGACTGACCGGAAGGTCTTATCGCGACCCAAGTGGCGGCTGGAGGGCGCATTGTGCGCCTCCGCGAGGATATCGAACTTCAAATCCTCGTCGTTGGGTACGACCACCCGTGGAGGTTCATAGGGTTCCACCCTGTAATAGAGGAGGCCATCCCTCAACTCATATCGGTGGAGCCGTGAGCGCTGTCGCGACGAGAGCAACTCGGACTTGGCGCTCGTTCCTGCCGTGAGGAACTTGACGATAGGCGCGACAGCCTCATCGTCTCGATACGCCATGCATATCCGCTCATATAGATCCGTTGTCACCCGTGTGATGTGAACCAACTTGTAGTCAGGACGCCGATAGAGGGCGTCCGCAATCACGTTGAGTTTGCCCGGCTTGTACTCGACGCGGAAGCTGTACTCCGCGAAGAAGGACAGCCACCTCGCCATCCTTTGGGAGAGGTGAGGCGAATTTGTCGCCGTCCTCAAGGATGCGTGGTCTGTGTAGATCACGAAGGGCCGGGAGCCCAGAAGGTGAACCCGAAACTTCACAAGGGCATACTTCATTGCCAGGGGGCTCCTTGTCGTGGACAGGGTAGCTCCGTTCGGCGGCGTTGAGCAGCCTGGACTGGAACGAGATGACTCATTCATGTCCAGCCGTGTTGGCCTGCAGCAGTGCACACCCGATGGCGTAATTGGACGCATCGCAGACGACGCTAAACGGCTTCGTCTCGTCCGGCAGGGCCAGGACAGGGGCCTCTTGTAGACTGGCCTTGATGCTGTCAAAGGCATTTCAATGCTCTTGCTCCCAGTGCCAGTCGACGTCCTTCTGAAGGAGGCCCGACAAGGGCTTAGTCAAGCCCGCATACCCTGCTTTGTACTTGGGAAGGTAGTTGACCAAGCCCAACCTTTTTCGAAGATCCTTCTGGAATCGGGGCGTTGGGCCATGCTGCTATGGCCCTGACCTTGTCTGGGTCAGCCCGAACGCCCACGTTGCTTACGAAGCAACCAAGAACCTTAATCTCTGATGACGCGAAGACGCATTTGTCGATGTTGACGTAGAGCCTGCTCGCTCGCATCACGTCCAACACTCGACGGAGGTGCCCAGATGCACCTCCATGGCCGTCTTGCGTCCCTCGGCACTGCTATGGACGAATATGTCGTCGAAGTACGTCTGTACGAAGGCGCGCAGTGGCATGAACAATTGCGTCACGAGGCTATTGAATGTCGCCAGGGTGTTAGACAAGCCCTGCGGCATGACGAGCCACTCCCAAAGCATGCCGCTTGGAGTGCCCACCGCGGTGAGTGGGATGTCGCTCTCGCGCATCAAGATCTGGTAGTATCCGTCTACCAAATCCAGCGCACTTTACTGTACGCTTCCTGCCATGTTGTCTAACAGCACGTCCTTTCGTGGGATTGGTGTTTGGGCCGGCACCATCGCGCTGTTCAGTTTGTTATAAGCATGAACTAGACGGCACTTTCCGTTCGGGTTCCGAACGCAGAAAGCTGGCGTCGAGTGCGGGGACTTCGACTCCCGCACCATGCATGCCTTCGCTATCGCAGCGAAGAAGGCATCAATGACCTCGCACTGTTCGCGCGGAAGAGGCCATTACCTCGTGACACAATACTTTGTGCCTGGCACGAGATCAATCTAATGCCGTACGCCTCGATCTGGTTGATTTTGGGTCCGTGGGTGTTTGTTCACCACGTCCGCATACTCCGTCACCAAAGGATACACCGGATCCTTGGGGATTCTTAAGGATCTCAGAATTCAAGCGCGTCTGATGCTGCTTGTTCAGGTCTTCCAGGACGCTCTCGTCCAAAACAGAGGAAGAGTTCAGCTCCTGCCGAGTGGTCTCAGGTCTCAGGAGCACCATTTCGGCAACCTTTCCAGCCTTGAGGTTGGCCAGGAAAGACTCGACCGATATTTCCTCGAGGTTCAGTATCTCTACAACCTCTGGCAACGGCTCCAAGTGGACACCAGATGCCTTGACGAGTAAGCCGGTCTCGCCATCGAAGATGCGATAACACTCTTCCACCGGCCTTGTCGGAGGAGTTCAGGCACTGGACTCCGAGTCGCTTGAAGCGACGTCGTCGTCGACGGCGACCGTGGAGTTTTGCTACCCACGTCTGTATATTTCATTGGCGAGTGTGTGCGTGCGTGTGCTGTGGCAGCGGCTTTTTTGGCTGCGCTCGGCGTGTGTGCTGTGTGTGCTTGCTGGTGCCCTGTGCTGCGGTGGGACGTCAAGGTCAGTTCGTATGCTGCGGGAAATGGCCGCCGAGGAGGTAGGGCTTACGCTTGCGTTTGTCTATTATATCTTGGTGGACGAGTAGTCGCGGTTGGGACTGAGGTGCCTACAACGTGTTTTTGAGTGGGCCTGTGTCTCTGTGTGCGCCGTGTGCGGATAGCTTGCTATGCGTGTGTGGTTGTGTGTGGATTGATGTGGGTTTTAACTTGTTGCCGTTCGGGACGTTGACGAAATGGAGCGATTTGACCCGTCTTGAAACACGGACCAAGGAGTCTAACATGTGTGCAAGTGTTAGGGTGTGGAAACCCCAGCGCGAAATGAAAGTGAAGGGCAGCGTAAGTTGTCTGAGGT